ATCTTTGTGGATTTAAATAGTTAAAAAAATGTAATATGTTATGTCAAAGTCTCTAGTTTATGTAGAAAATAAAATCCAATACTGCATGAGTTATGTTAGTCCATCTCTAGCTCAATTCATGGGATATGTAAGTTTAGACTACTGCTTAAAATCTTCTCTTACTCCCAATTATGATCTTCAAATCAGTTTTAATGATGTCAATCATTTAAAATCATAGAAAACAATAATGTATATTCCACATTATTGTAATTAGCTTTGAAAGTATAAAAACCACAACATTCTACATTATATTGATAAGATTATATTGTAGTGTTAGATGGTTAAGTTAGTTTATAATTAAAGCAAAAGAAGATCAAATATTCTAGGATGAATATAAAATGAATATAAGAATATTTGATATAGTAAAATTCAAGAACAAAAGAACAAGTAAAACTAATTCGATGAAAAAAATCTCAAGTATTTATTTTCTTCTAGAGTTCATTTCTTCTTTGCTGTCTCTATCTTGATCTTCAAAAGCTTCAAAGTTACGATTTTGAAGGAGTATTTATTTAATTTAAAATTTCTTATTAAAAAGGAAGCAGAACATATGAAGAAAATGTAAACTCAAAAACTGAAAGTGTTTTTGATTGTCGAGACTACAATATAACTGTCAACACGCAGGTGACAATAGACTAAACACGCAAGGTTCATGATTTTCCTACAATCACGTTATTTATGAGAATTCTGTTTATTTTTGTTGTTAATTTCTTTGCTTCATGTCTTCTATTGCATTGGTTTTATTATACTTAAACCATGTAGTTTAATTAATGTAATATTCACGGTATATATGATGCACTAAAATCACCCTAACAAGTGTACTAGTTGCTCCAAGTAATATAATGATTAGGTATGAGGTATTAAGGTATTGACTTCATCATAATCAATCAATATAAATTCTGAATTAATATACTTCCAAAATCAATTTATTAATTGTTATTGCATGTGATAACAAATTTCTCTAAATTAACAAACTAGCTTTCTTAAGTCAAATTAATTCTTCACTTGTTTGTTAAATTAATCCCATCTCTATATAATTTTAAAGAAATTAATGAGTATTAAATTTTATGGAAATGTTTAGCCTAAGAAAGATGAGCTCCTAACTTTCTTCTCTTCCTCCGCTACCACATGTGAGTTAATTACCTCTAGGTCTCATAGTCTAACACGGTTTATATTATTATTGATCTAATTTACGCAATTCTTTTTTAAGTTCATGCATAAATCACTAAATCAATTGAAAGATGATCATGTTTTAAATGCATTAAGTTTGATAATATAAATTTCTTATGCAAATAACTTTAATTGAAAGCATAAAATCACAAAATTTATATTAAATTGATTAGGTGACATTGTAGTTATAGTAGAATAAATTAGTTCATAATAAAAATAATAAAACTTGAAATTATAGTTATGGACATTCAAATATCAAACAATAGATAAAAAGAATTTAAAGAAAACCAAAACTCAATTTGAGGAAGTTAAACTCCTTGATCTTCTATTGTTGATGAATCATTTATCTTGATTTTCAAGAATACTCAAAAGAGAGCTGTCACTAGCTTTCACTAACCTCTCATAATTCTGAATTTGGATTGGTATTTATAAGGTTTTAGAAACCCTAATTGGAATAAAAGTAAGATTTAAAACAGAATGGGAAAGTTGAATGGTGGACGTTGAACGTATGGTGCCAACAGCCGAATTACGTGCCGACACAAAACAGGAAACAAAAAGTTTGATTTTGGACTATTAACGCATGGTGTCGATACCCAGATTATGTGTCGACACTACACTGGTGTCGAGTTTCTGGCTTCTTTTTGCAATTTCTTCGATGGTAAAATAACAGGTCTGTCCTCCAGATTTTGTACAATGAGCACGTAGATCATAGTAGTTTAAAAATCTGATCATGGCAATCAAAGGAAATAGTTAAATCATAGTAGTGTATACACTTTTCAAATTTTAAATAATATTAATCCCTACACTTAAACAAGCTTTACTAGAAAATTTACAACAAAAAAAAAAGGTATGAATACTATTAGCAGACATTCCAAAACCCCATCATGGTTTTCATCTTTCAAGAAATCCATTAAACATCATTTTCCAAATTTCTCCCAACTCATCCCAAAATCAAAATAAAAACTTAAAAGGGCAAAAAAGTCAAGATGTATATTTTCAACATTAATATCCTTGTATTTTCTAATGCGGGCAAGTATAATTTTTTGTATTGATCTAATTATAAGAGAAAGAACCTGTAAAGCTGAAATGAAATTTATTTATGAATTAGATAAGGACAAAGTTTTAGATATGCTTTAAATCAATTTTAGTTTTAAAGATTTATTAATTAGGGGCAAAAAAAAAAAAATAGTCATGCTTAGCTTCTTGCCTGCATATATAAATAATGTGCAAATGAAATTCAATTGTAACTCTCAATTATTTCATTCATTATTTAATAATTAAATCTGAAATTCCATTTATGTTTACAATTTATTAATCTTTTAATTAGAGAAAATTTATCCCATACGTTACATTTTGAGAGAGTTTAATTTAATGGTTAGCTTATTAACCAATAATTTAATTTAATTTTTAGTTTAAAAAGTTAGTTTTTATTCTAAATTGCTTGTAAACTTTGTAAAATATTTTAGAATATTTTATTGTATAAAATTTCT